TGGGGGTTTCAAAAGCTGTTGAGGTATTTCCCAAAAGGGTTGCATTTAAAGCCACTTTGCACCATTTCCTTAATCTTAAGAGACAACTTCTTCAATTTTTTTCTCCCCCCGCCTCCGAACATTTCCTCGGTGGGGCCTCTTGCTTTTGAAATGATCTTGCAGCCACAGGGGGTTAGTCTTCTTGTTCTCCTCCACCAACTCTCCACATCCTCCTCAGTAACCCCAACCCCAAGGGCTTCCCCAAACACAATGATTCCACAACGGGCATATGCTTCTCGGGGTTAGCCTCAAACCCTTCAAATCCCTTTTGTCTACACATTCGGCCACAGTTTCTTCCAACAGAGTTAAAGGGGTCCTCTTAGCACTCCCCCCAACCCCTTTACCTAAAGGTTTACACAACTGAGGATTAAAGTTTTTCCAAAACCTTTTAAAGGCAATCGATGTCTGAGTCACTTAAAGTTTTTTTGAAACAGTTTTTTGTGTAGATTTTTTTGAAGTTTAAAATGCCCTTTCGGTCCATGGGCCAGGAGAGGAGTGGTATTAGGAGCAAAAACTTGACCTTTTTTTTAAGCCATGTCCCCAGAGATCGCTCTCCAATCGAAGGATGACCGGGACATTGTTAATACCGGGGAGCACTTAAGGTCCAATTTTTTTTCCGGGAGTAATTTTTCACAGTGGGGGCAAATACATGGTGTAACCATTCATAAAAAAATTTTCTCTAGTGACCCATGCCTTACTCTTTCCCCCCACAGCACACAAAAATTAGCCCTGAGACATTGTTTTTTGCCTGAACCTCTGGGAGTTCAGAGGATACACCAATAAACTTCACTTTGCAATCCCCCTAGCATTAGCACACATCAAAGAGAACCGTCTTTCATAGGCTTATTCCTGGAGTGCCTTTTCCCCCTGGTAATGTAGGTCCTTTTTTGGCATTTTCTTCCAAAACGGGCCCTGTTTCGTCACAATTAAAACTTGTTCATTTCAGTCCTTCACTGCGTTAGTCCTTGAATTCCTTCACATATTTTCGTCCTTTTTGGCCGAACTGGCAGCCTCACCAGCCTACCACTATGTATGCCACTACATTTTTAAAATCTCCAAACCAACCTTTGCGGGCCTTAAATTCACCACATCACCACTAGTTGCAGGCATTTTCTAATTAATCCAGCCTTTTTTACATATGACGTTAAAAGAAAGCATCTCCTGCATCGTTTTTTTATTTTTCCCACCAATAAAACCTCAAAATCTTCAAATTTCTTTTCATCTCTGTTTTGAAAAAAAACTTTCAAACCCTTTTCAGAACAGCTTCCTTATTGCCGTTTTGTTGGTAAAGATAGTACGATGGTTGATTGGGGTTTTTTATACAACCCCACTCCGAGACATGCACTCCACTTTCGTCTGAGCATTTATCTCTCTTCATTTCCTAGTAAATTTTTTCCCTTTTTACCACAGGTTGACACTAGAAGCTTTCTTGGGGCCCATGGTGACTTATTTTGCAGCTATGATCACTAAAAACACTGTGATAACATGAAATGTACCGAATGTATGCGTGAATGCGACCGCACTGGCTGGCTTGTAAACACTGGCACCCACGGGGCAGCTGAGGCCACGCGTGGGACGCATCCTGGACGAATTGTGAGGCTAGTTTTTTAGCGTGAGGTGAGGCAAAATTTTTGCCTCACCTCAAATGTAACGTATGGCGGATTTAATGTAACACAGTGCCATCGTAAGGCGGGGTCCACTGCACTGTATTGTCCTGTATTATTATGTATCCTTTAAATAACCAAGCAATGATCTCCGCAATTTTTCATTTAATATTAATGCCAGTTTTATTATTTCTGAGCTGACTCATTGTTCTTTGGTTTACAGAAAGATGTATCAAAGAGTGCAGTAGAAATCTTGGCACGTATATCAATGGTTACAAGTGGTATCAAGGCTTTCAGAGTAACTTCTGCTTCTGCTGCAGGTAAGAGAGACTAATGTAACAAAAGTATGTTATTAATACTTAGGTGCTCTGTACTACAAAAAAGAAATTACTGAATCCTGAGCATTTATAAGAAATTTGAGCTGTTATCCTACCTACCTCTGACTTTATCTAGATGTTTAATAACTGCATTTGAAACTTGTTTGGGTATTTGGTAAACAAAGGTCATTTTATATTTTGTAATTCCTTTATATTATATTTGATCTTTATTTTTTTCTGAACATGCTGTAACTAGGGATGACCTGTTATAATTAATCATAGGGTAGACTATTGATATCAGTAAATTTCAGTGTAATGTGATTACTCCTGGCATAGATACTTTTTCATATCTAAAACTTCCTGTAAAACTACACCAGGTTTAAAAACTGAATGTATAGATAACAGGACAGAATTCTTCATGGGACCTTTTATTATTCTATTCTTTTCCAGAGTTTTCTGATAAAGCTGAGGAGAGATATGATCCAATGTATGATCCAAGTGTTCAAGAATTAAACATTGAAGAAATAATGATGAAAAATACCATGGATGGACATGCTGATCCAATAATGAATGAAGCAACCCATGACGTGGACAAAAAAATTGCAAGTAGGCTTAGTAGTGCTCAGGAAGTAACAAGCAATATAGTAGAAACTGTCAGAGGTACACGAGATGAAATTAATAAAAGAATAGAACAGTTTGAACCTCTTCTTGATGCAAAAAAGTTTGAAAGAGAGATCACAGAAGAGCATCTTAAGGTTCTAGATGATAAGTTATCTGAAATTCAGGGTATTGCTTATGGCCAAGATTTTAAAATTTTAAAGGAAGTAGAGCATTCTAAACCTTTAGAAGAAGTTTTACAAGATGTAGATAAAGAACAAATAAGTGACAGAAAAGGCAAGACAGGATCTGCATATTCTGCACAATGTAGAGATAAACAAGAAGTGCAAAGCACAAATCCCTCCAAAAATACTAAGGAAAATGGCTCATTACCTGATTCCAGTTTGCATGAAATAGGTGTAGAAGAAGTCGTAATGCAAGAGGCTTTAAGCGGTCATAGTGACAAGTTTCTTAGTGAACTGTCACAAAGTAGTGATGAGCTATTGACAGGTGCACTCAGTAATATTCAGGAGGTTGTACACAACATCAGTGAAATTAAAGAAGGAAGCATTGGAATATTAGAACAATTTGAACCTCTTCTTGATGTAAGAAATATTCAGGAAAGAGAGATTACAGTTGAACAACTTCAGGTTCTAGAAGATGAATTACAGGGACTTCAAGGTATTACTTGTGAAAATGATTTCAAGATATTCAGGAAAGATGAATATTCCCAACCTGTGGAAGTTAAACATGATATTGTTAATGAGCTAGTTTCATCAGAAAAGACCAAAATTGATAACTGTGCACAAGAGTTGGTGGAAAAAGTTGTTACTCCTGCAAGCTCACCACTTGCTGCTGTTGAGAATTCTAGTGCTGTAGCTGCAACTACAGCTCCCACTTCAACAACTATTGGTGCTGCTACCACAGTACATGCATTAGGCAATAAGGCTCAAGCAAGCAGTAAAGAAAAACCAAAAAGTCATTATGGGTCTGCAATGTGTCAACCATCACAAGAAGCCACTTTTTCAACTGCTACTGTTATTTCTACAATTGATTCATCCCCTCCTGGGCCAGTGACTAGAGATACTGATGAGCACAATGCAAGTTCTAATAACTCTCATAATCTAAAAGACCAAACTAATGCAGCTCATACAAAGCCCAAACCCAGGCTTTTAGGAAAGAAACCATTGGCAAAGGAAAAGCCAAAATCAACAGTAAGTATTTATTATTTGCAGTTAATTTGCATGTGATGAATATGAGTAAAATTCTTTGCATGAACAGGGCACATCATACAAATTTTTAATATAGTATCTGCTAGGCTTCATGCATAAGGATAATGATTTCAAAATTATATGAACAGTGGAAAAACAATGTGGGCGACAGCATAAAAGGTGGGGGAAAGGGGGGTGTCATGATGCAAATGGTTTTCAGAAGGATTTAATCTTGATTTTGAGACAAGAAGCCATTAGTAAAAGAAGAGTGAGAAGGAAAGGGAGAAGGCTTTTGTATTTTCCTAAAGTAAAAATAATGTACAAAAATAGGATAATGGTGTGTAGGTTCTAAAATAATATATGGAAATCAGGAAAATTTACAAAATAAAAGGGGAAAGTTTGTGGTTCATTAACTGAAACTGAAAAGTTCTGATACAGCAAGAAATATGATTGATATAATGGAAAACAAGAAAGTTGCATGTACATATGTGATAAAGGAAAGAGGCAATTGTAATAAGAAAAGTAAATATGGGCTAATTTACAGGTGTATATTAGACACTTAACTATAAAATACAGGAAGTATGGAGCATGCAAAGTAAATAAAAGTGCTTTTCAAAGTGTTCAGAGATGAGAGAGAATGGAAAGCAGCCATAAAATAATTTGCAAGGTTTTAATAGGAAATAATTTGACACACGAGTAAAAGGAATGTGAAAAGTAGTACAAAAGGAGGGGTAACCATTGTATTTTTACCAGGAGTACAGATCTGTGCAATTGCCTATACAGTAGGGCCCCACTTATATGGCAGGTTAGGTTCCAGGCTACTGCCGGTAAGTAGACATCGCCAGAAAGCAGAAAGCCATTTTTTCCACTTATAAATGCATATACTACTACATGTAAATGCCAGACAACAAGTTTACACTAACTTATATTAAGTTATTAATTGAAGTAGGCATTAAAAAACACAATAAAAAGTAAAATACACACACAGTACATTCATTACTTACCTTAAAATATTTGTAGTCTTAATGTAGGGTGAGAGGTGAGTAGTACTTATTTGTAGGAAGTCAGGTGTAGGTAGCCCTGGGTCCCCATCCCAAACTTAATACTGTATATGATATTTAAAGCAGCTCAGAGAGAGAAAATACACATATAGTACACTCATTATTTACCTTAAAATATGTGTAGTCTTAATGTAGGATGAGAGGTGAGTAGTATTTATTTGTAGGAAGTCAAGTGTAGGTAGCCAGTAGATGTAGGTATGTAGTCTGCCTGGGCTACATACCTACACCTACCTACATAGCTACACGATATTTAATGTGGCCCAGAGCCATATTATTATCATCAACATACCATGTTCATTGAGTTTAATCATTTCTAACAGCTACGTTTAGATGCCATCGTAAACAAAAGGAGAAATAATGAATAATTCATGCCGAGAATTGTAAACAAAAGCGTTATGTGTAAAGGGGAATGACTGGGCCAATGCAGATTCATACGCGTTTTCTCTGGTGCTAGACCATAAAAAACGTAATGTTTTCCCTCTGCCCGACTACCATCCCTCCATAGCATATAAACATAGCATGTTTATATGCTATTTAATGTGTTTCTTATATAATTTTGAAGAAATATCATAGATGGATTGATGAAAATGTCTATATTAACGTAAAATAAGACATTTAATGTGCCCAAGAGTGATTATTATTACGTACTCTATTAGTATTATTACTATGGTGTTAAGACTAGTGGGACATTCTTAGTGATTTTAATGTGTACCTGCACTCCAGCACAGTGTGTAAGTATATTTAGGCACAGGTACACATAAGTATAATTATCAGAGTACATATAACTTTAAAACACTTGAAATTTTGGAAAGTTTCCAGACATAATAGAGATGTGGTCACGGAGAGTGTAAAGAAACTGGGTGGGGAACACCGTATTAGAGAGACCACTGGCCGTATAGAGAGTTTTAGTCATAATTTGAAATCATCATATTAGGGGAATGCCGTAAGGTGAAATGCCATACAGTGTGGCCCTAGTGTACAATTATTGTTGTTGCTGGGATTGTGAAACATCTCCCACTATCATTCATCTGTTACACCAGACTCCTTCATATTCAACTTTTTTACAGCACCTTTCAGTTAACTGGATGTCTCACTAATCTTATATTCAGTCTGAATTCACTGCTTTTAAGAATGCTTTTCATTCTACTGTTGGAAAACTGTAAGGTTATCCATTATTTCACACAAGGGGAAATTATCTATTGGTCTTAACTTGTCTTTCAGTTGGCAGACACTGCACAGGCACGAAAGGTGCCTCACTCTCGGATGGGCCGCTTGATGTCATTTGGTGGTTTAGCTGCAGGATTAGGAGTGGGCACTATTGCTGAAATGACTCGTCGATCCTTGGGTGTGAAAGAAGGCAATGGTAGTGGATCCTTGTTAGATGGATCTCCTTTCTTGACAGAGGCAAATGCAAAAAGAATTGTTAACACATTGTGTAAAGTAAGAGGTAAGAATGACATAGTACACTTAAACAATTTAACTTAATAACTGAATATTTATTGGGTACCAGTAAGGGAAATACCTATATATGTACTTGCATGAAGCTCACAACTTATAAACAAAATGCATTCCAGGTTTTTCAACTAATAATAATAATAATAATTATGATAATCATCTACTTAGGAGCTGCTTTGAAGCTGGGTCAGATGTTGAGCATTCAAGACAGTGCACTAATAAACCCTCAGATACAGAAGATCTTTGATCGTGTGCGACAGTCGGCAGATTTCATGCCAACATGGCAGCTGGAGGTAAAATTTCATTCATTTGAATATAAACTTTTCATTGCTGTACTTAATTTTAATGTGTGTACAGCCTTTTCTCTCCTTATCTGGTGCAGAAATGTAAAGTTGAATATCACAGGTTATTTTGCCCATAAAAAACCACATCTTAATTAGATTGCAGACATTGTTTGCATGAAATTTGGAAGGAATGTAGGTGTTTCAAATCTTGAGTGTAATCCACTAAGCATTATCAATATGCTGTATCCTGATTGGCTGTTACTTCAATACAAGTATGTACACCTACCATCCGACTTACGACCTGCTCGACTTACGACCACTCGACTTACGACCGTGTTTTTTATGCCAAATTTCTGGGAAATAAACAACTATTTGTGTTGTACACAGTGTTTATCCTAAACCTTACAGTATAAAATACAGTACTAACAACATAAAAAGTAAAGTAAAACATGAAATACCAAAATAAAACAATAAAATAAAGTCATTACAAAAATGTTTTGTTGATATTCAATAGTAAAGTTTGACTTACGACCATTTCGACTTACAACCGGTTTCTCGGAACCGAACTCGGTCGTAAGTCGGATGGTAGGCGTGTGTGTGTGTGTGTGTGTACTCACCTAGTTGTACTCACCTAGTTGAGGTTGCGGGGGTCAAGTCCGAGCTCCTGGCCCCGCCTCTTCACTGATCGCTACTAGGTCACTCTCCCTGAGCCGTGAGCTTTATCATACCTCTGCTTAAAGCTATGTATGGATCCTGCCTCCACTACATCACTTCCCAAACTATTCCACTTACTGACTACTCTGTGGCTGAAGAAATACTTCCTAACATCCCTGTGATTCATCTGTGTCTTCAGCTTCCAACTGTGTCCAATCTCTGGAACATCCTGTCTTTGTCCACCTTGTCAATTCCTCTCAGTATTTTGTATGTCGTTATCATGTCCCCCCTATCTCTCCTGTCCTCCAGTGTCGTCAGGTTGATTTCCCTTAACCTCTCCTCGTAGGACATACCTCTTAGCTCTGGGACTAGTCTTGTTGCAAACCTTTGCACTTTCTCTAGTTTCTTCACGTGCTTGGCTAGGTGTGGGTTCCAAACTGGTGCCGCACACTCCAATACGGGCCTAACGTACACGGTGTACAGGGTCCTGAATGATTCCTTATTAAGATGTAGGAATGCTGTTCTGAGGTTTGCTAGGCGCCCATATGCTGCAGCAGTTATTTGATTGATGTGCGCTTCAGGAGATGTGCCTGGTGTTATACTCACCCCAAGATCTTTTTCCTTGAGTGAGGTTTGTAGTATCTGGCCCCCTAGACTGTACTCCGTCTGCGGTCTTCTTTGCCCTTCCCCAATCTTCGTGACTTTGCACTTGGTGGGATTGAACTCCAGGAGCCAATTGCTGGACCAGGTCTGCAGCCTGTCCAGATCCCTTTGTAGTTCTGCCTGGTCTTCGATCGAGTGAATTCTTCTCATCAACTTCACGTCATCTGCAAACAGGGACACCTCAGAGTCTATTCCTTCCGTCATGTCGTTCACAAATACCAGAAACAGCACTGGTCCTAGGACTGACCCCTGCGGGACCCCGCTGGTCACAGGTGCCCACTCTGACACCTCGCCACGTACCATGACTCGCTGCTGTCTTCCTGACAAATATTCCCTGATCCATTGTAGTGCCTTCCCTGTTATCCCTGCTTGGTCCTCCAGTTTTTTGCACCAATCTCTTGTGTGGAACTGTGTCAAACGCCTTCTTGCAGTCCAAGAAAATGCAATCCACCCACCCCTCTCTCTCTTGTCTTACTGCTGTCACCATGTCATAGAACTCCAGTAGGTTTGTGACACAGGATTTCCCATCCCTGAAACCATGTTGGCTGCTGTTGATGAGATCGTTCCTTTCTAGGTGTTCCACCACTCTTCTCCTGATAATCTTCTCCATGATTTTGCATACTATACATGTCAGCGACACTGGTCTGTAGTTTAATGCTTCATGTCTGTCTCCTTTTTTAAAGATTGGGACCACATTTGCTGTCTTCCATGCCTCAGGCAATCTCCCTGTTTCGATAGATGTATTGAATATTGTTGTTAGGGGTACACATAGCGCCTCTGCTCCCTCTCTCAATACCCATGGGGAGATGTTATCTGGCCCCATTGCCTTTGAGGTATCTAGCTCACTCAGAAGCCTCTTCACTTCTTCCTCGGTTGTGTGCACTGTGTCCAGCACTTGGTGGAGTCCCTTCTGTCTCCTCTGTGAACACTTCTTTGAATCTCTTGTTGAGTTCTTCACATACTTCAGGGTCATTTCTTGTTGTCTCTCCTCCTTCCTTCCTTAGCCTGATTACCTGGTCCTTGACTGTTGTTTTCCTCCTGATGTGGCTGTACAACAGTTTCGGGTCAGATTTGGCTTTCGCTGCTATGTCATTTTCATATTGTCTTTGGGCCTCCCTTCTTATCTGTGCATATTCGTTTCTGGCTCTACGACTGTTCTCCTTATTCTCCTGGGTCCTTTGCCTTCTATATTTCTTCCATTCCCTAGCACACTTGGTTTTTGCCTCCCTGCACCTTTGGGTAAACCATGGGCTCATCCTGGCTTTTTCATTATTCCTGTTACCCTTGGGTACAAACCTCTCCTCAGCCTCCTTGCATTTTGTTGCTACATATTCCATCATCTCATTAACTGGCTTCCCTGCCAGTTCTCTGTCCCACTGAACCCCGTTCAGGTAGTTCCTCATTCCTATGTAGTCCCCTTTCTTGTAGTTTGGCTTCATTCGTCCTGGCCTTCCTGCTTCTCCCTCCACTTGTAGCTCTACTGTGTTGTGTGTGTGTGTACACATATATACAGTGGACCCCCGCTTTACGATCACCTCCCAATGCGACCAATTATGTAAGTGTATTTATGTAAGTGCATTTGTACGTGTATGTTTGGGGGTCTGAAATGGACTAATCTAATTCACAATATTCCTTATGGGAACAAATTCGTTCAGTATTGGCACCTGAACATACTTCTGGAATGAAATAATATCGTAAACCGGGGGTCCACTGTATGTATATGTATGTATGTATGTATGTGTATATATATATATATTATATATATATATATATATATATATATATATATATATATATATATATATATATATATATATATATATATATATATATATATATATTTTTTTTTTTTTTTTTTTTTTTTTTTTTTTTTTTTTTTTTTTTGCTCAAAAGCACCAGGTCTGCAAAATGTCTAAGAGTATTTTGTTTATTATTTAACATTTCTGGTAACAGGGAGCTATAGCACAGCAGTTGGGGCAAGACTGGAAGTCTAAAATAGCTTCTTTTGAAGAGAAGCCTTTTGCTGCTGCATCCATTGGTCAAGTACATTTGGCAACTCTTCATGATGGTCGTTCAGTAGCCATGAAGATTCAGTATCCAGGGGTAGCACAAGGAATTGAGAGTGATATAAACAATCTTATATCCACTCTTAGTGTTGCAAATATTCTTCCTGAAGGTGAGTAATGACTTTCAAGGTTTAATATATTAGGCAGCAGTATGTTGTTTACTGGTACTAGCATAATTAATTTGTACACTGTAATAAAGCATGAATTGTTGTGAAGGAGCACCTTCACAAAAATGTAAATTAAGTTCTCTGTGATCTTAGATTTAAAAAAATAAGGCAATAAACTACATGATAAAAGCTGCAACTCCAGATGAACCTCTTCTATAGATGACTCTGCATTGATACTAGAACCATAGCCATCTACCTGGTGACCTGATAGGCCAACATCAATTTTCAAATAAAAAAAAGGGGGGGGGGTGGAGGAGGGAAAGGTAATTGACTTTGAGATTTACCATATAGTATACTGAAAATGCTAGATGAATGCACACTAAATCTGCACACTGAAATAATTACTTAGGATAGTGGGGGAACTTAAACAACTGACCGAATTTTATATTTATGCGAGATGTACCATAATGTTGGATTCAAATTGTGCTTAATTTAAACCCCCTCATAGAACTGTGGTAAGAACATAAAGGAGGAGGAACAGTGCAGCAGGTCCACTGGCCCATACTAGACAGGTTCTTCTCAAACCCAAACATAAGAATCAAGGAACACTATAGTAGGAATACTGGCCCATGGAAATAAATGGTATAAAATACCAACACAATGGAAATATAAACACATAAGTAGTATAATGTGATCCCTTATTGACAATGTTTTGTGTGGGTGAAACATTGTCAATAAAGGATCACATTATACTGCTTGCGTTTATTCTTCCAATACTGGCCCATACAGGGCAGGACTTTCTCAAAAGTAACCATTCCCATCCACCTATTTGTCTAACTTTTCCTTAAAGCTACCTAAGAATTTGCTTCAATACTTTAGGCACTAATCAAATCCAGCCCTTCTCACTCATATATTCATCTAATCTCTTTTTAAAACTACCCAAGGTTTTAGCTTCTATTACCCTACTTGGCAGATTGTTCTACTCATCGATAACTTTGCTTGAAAACCAGTACTTTCCTACATCTTTTCTGAATCTAAATTTATCTAATTTAAATCAATTGTTTCTAGTTCTTATTTGATTCAATATCCTCAGTACTTTATACTGCCTCTGTTTATGCCCATCTTCCACTTATATACTTATATTATTCTATATCTCTCAGTAGAGTGAAGATTCAAGGTTCTCAATGTTAGTGGTGAAGTAATCACAGTGCACCTCTCTGTGGTTGTTGTGCAGAAGCTTCAGAGCTTACCAAGTTTAAAGGATTCATTTCTCATTGCTTGAGATGTAGGCTAAAGAGCTGTCTAGACTTTTTACTACAGTCTTAAGAAGAGTAGTAGTATAAGGCAGAAAAATTGTGGTGCAGTACTAGTACTGTAGTAGCAGTTGCAATGGTTTTGTAATTCTTTTTCCAAAAAAAAGCTTGAAATGCAGTATGTATTATTTTAGTGCCAATCTAATATGTATTTCATTTGGTTGGGGTCTGTTTTGTATTAGTCCTTCAACTTAAAAAACTACTATATAATTGGCTCTTCTCTTTTTTTTTTTTTCTTAAAAAAAAAAAATGATAATAACTATGAGCTTTATATTTTATTGTGCTTTTTAAATTGAATAGCTGTTTACACACCTGTGATCAATGGTGGTCCAATTTCCCCTTGAAAACTTCTATCTTTGTTCCAGTAATATTTATGACCTAGCTACTTGGTGACAGCACCAAGGAGTACTGGGACTGAAGCCTTCCAAAATTCTATCAACCCCCAAATAAAATAATAATAATAATAATGTCACCATGTATGTATGTAATGTCACCATGGTTGTTTAATATATTTATAGATGGGGTTGTAAAAGAAGTAAATGCTAGGGTGTTCGGGAGAGGGGTAGGATTAAATTATGGGGAATCAAATACAAAATGGGAATTGACACAGTTGCTTTTTGCTGATGATACTGTGCTTATGGGAGATTCTAAAGAAAAATTGCAAAGGTTAGTGGATGAGTTTGGGAGTGTGTGTAAAGGTAGAAAGTTGAAAGTGAGCATAAAAAAGAGTAAGGTGATGAGGGTATCAAATGATTTAGATAAAGAAAAATTGGATATCAAATTGGAGAGGAGGAGTATGGAAGAAGTGAATGTTTTCAGATAGTACTTGGGAGTTGACGTGTCGGCGGATGGATTTATGAAGGATGAGGTTAATCATAGAATTGATGAGGGAAAAAAAGTGAGTGTTGCATTGAGGTATATGTGGAGACAAAAAACATTATCTATGGAGGCAAAGAAGGGAATGTATGAAAGTATAGTAGCACCAACACTCTTATATGGGTGTGAAGCTTGGGTTGTGAATGCAGCAGCAAGGAGGCGGTTGGAGGCAGTGGAGATGTCCTGTCGAAGGGCAATGTGTGGTGTAAATATTATGCAGAAAATTCGGAGTGTGGAACTTAGGAGAAGGTGTGGAGTTAATAAAAGTATTAGTCAGAGGGCTGAAGAGGGGTTGTTGAGGTGGTTTGGTCATTTAGAGAGAATGGATCAAAGTAGAATGACATGGAGAGCATTTAAATCTGTAGGGGAAGGAAGGCCATTTAAATCTGTAGGGGAAGGAAGGCGGGATAGGGGTCGTCCTCGAAAAGGCTGGAAGGAAGGGGTAAGGGAGGTTTTGTGGGCGAGGGGCTTGGACTTCCAGCAGGCGTGCGTGAGCGTGTTCGATAGGAGTAAATGGAGACGAATGGTATTTGGGACCTGACGATCTGTTGGAGTGTGAGCAGGGTAATATTTAGTGAAGGGATTCAGGGAAACCGGTTATTTTTATATAGCCGGACTTGAGTCCTGGAAATGGGAAGTACAATGCCTGCACTCTAAAGGAGGGGTTCGGGATATTGACGGTTTGGAGGGATATGTTGTGTATCTTTATACGTATATGCTTCTAAGTTGTTGTGTTCTGAGCACCTCTGCAAAAACAGTGATTATGTGTGGGTGAGGTGAAAGAGTTGAATGATAATGAAAGTATTTTCTTTTTGGGGATTTTCTTTCTTTTTGGGTCACCCTGCCTCGGTGGGAGACGGCTGACTTGTTAAAAAAAAAAAAAATAATAATAGCACTGCCCTCTTAACATTAACATATTTTTTCACCTTTTGCATCTCGTGTACTCTGCAGGTCTTTTTGTGGACTCTATTGTTGAGGTGGCCAAGCGAGAGTTAAGATGGGAATGCGATTATATACGGGAAGCAGAGTGCACTCGAAGGTTTAGTGAATTGGTGAAGACTTATCCTGAGTATTATGTTCCTGAAGTGATTTCGGAGCTTTGCACATCACAGGTGTTTTTAATAATCTCTTCTTGTAATAACTGCTTGTACAGTACAGTACCATCATCTTCAAAACAGGGCAGCAGATGAATCCTTCCGTATGAGGTGCTGCTAATCTTATCATAATTTTTAATAAAAAAATTTGATAAGCTTAAGACCTCTGAATTATTATTATTATTGCAGGTATTATTATTATAACAACTGAAATGCAAAATTAACAACTAACTACTTTGCATGGCTTATATGCTTATATGGCTTGTATGGCATATATGCTTCTGAACTGTTGTATTCTGAGCACCTCTGCAAAAACAGTGATAATGTGTGAGTGTGGTGAAAATGTTGAATGATGATGAAAGTATTTTCTTTTGGGGATTTTCTTTCTTTTTTGGGTCGCCCTGCCTCGGTGGGAGACGGCCGACTTTAAAAAAAAAAAAAAAAAAGCACTAAAACCATATGGGTCATAGAGTTCTGCATACCTATACTGAAGAACTTTAAATGTTACTTGGATTGTCAATGGTAAAACAGCTCCTTGCACAGGAATTAGAATTATAAAAATAGCATTTGATGCAGTTAATAACAGCAAAAATAAGCTGTAACACAACAAACAGCAAGTAAGTAGAGTAGAGAATCTTGTAAACAGTCAATTTTTTACTATACAGAAAACTCTAGGGAGGAGGTTTTTTAGATCATAGAGCCAATATTGGGATTTTTCCAGTTTAAATCACTTGTGCTGGGAAGATTATCAACGCCTGTAAGGCACTGAGGTGTTCTTCCTTAAACTTTAACCCCTTCACCATGTTCATTATAGATATGCAATTTCTGGACCATCTTCTAGACTGAGAAAGATGCGAATTCTGACTGGCAAAAAATGCTTTGTATGTTCTACGTTGTGCGCCTAGATATAACAGCCTAACTGTTATATGTGTATCTTATTCATCAATTTGTTGTTCTTTATACTAATCAGTAATATGTTTATCAATTGTAGAAATGCAGTTGGAGTAGATACATCACTGGTAAAGACACAGGAATGTGTAATTATGATAATGTACAATATAGAGAGTTACTAATTTTTGAAGTTAATAATCCAAATAAAGTCATCTTCCACTAAATATTTGTGGATTCTTGATATTAATGTACTGAATATTTACTTCAAGGGGCTAGTGACCCCTTCTCCTGTATATATTACTAAATTTAAAAAGAGAAACCCTGCCTCGGTGGGATAGGGCCGGTGCATTAAAAAAAAAATTTACTTCAAATATTTTTACAGGTCTTTTTATAAATTAACTATTTGTATGTTACCTAAGTTTTGGAAGAACATTAGGAGAAATTGCTTATAACCTGGCAAGTAGATTGTGAAAATCTGTGGAGGGTACTACAAAAGTTTTGTATGATAAGTATTTTTTTTTAGAGTAATGGGTGTATATTATCAGAGTTTTTAGTGTGGTAAGAAATTTTGGGTACACTTTTTTCAGCTTAGTTTACACAAAATCATACTATGTGATGATGCTTTGTAAGAGGGTTTTCTGTATTAATATTATAAGGAAATAAGTGCTATACATATATGGAAATCTTATGAGCTCTTCCTAATAAAAAAAAAAGTAATGCTAAAGCATATTTGAAAAATGTACTTTGTTTGTAGAGAAATGAACCTTGTGGACAGGGAACTAAATGGTTGATGCACGATGCAGTGAAAGAGTTCAAAGCCTGTGACATAATTCCTACAAATTTGTGGTACCTTATAGGTCTGTGAATAGTTTCCAAAATTCAGTTTTTTGTTTTTTTAACCCTTTCAGGGTCTGTCCCGTAGATCTACGGCTCTATGTTCAGGGTCCAAACCGTAGATCTACGCCAAAATTCTAGCGGCATCAAATTTAGCGCGAGAAGGCTGGTAGGCCTACATCTGAGAGAATGGGTCTGGGTGGTCAGTGTGCACATTATAGAAAAAATCTGGACACCCACGTGACATTGTGGGAACGCCAGCAAAGTAGCTTTGTTCATCATGCCTGGCGGCAAGGAAGCTCTCACTCTCCACTCACTCTCTGGGTGAATTCTGACTCCTCTTCACAACTTACAATTCTAAGACTGATGGAAGTGGAGCTGAAGAGGAATTCTATGGTTTTGAACCATATGGTACCATTGTGCCATATGGTACAATGGTATCATATGGTACAATGGTATATGGTACAATGGAACCATATTACTGTATGGTACATTGTACCATATGGTACATTATACCATATGGTACAGGGACCCTAATGGAAATAAGTCTGTCTGACTTTTTTGGGTTATCCTAGGTTCTCCAAACATATAAGAACATAAGAAAGAAGGAACACTGTAACAGGCCTACTGACCCATTCAGAGCAGGTCCATATCCCCTCCCATATTAGACCAATGATCCCCCCCCCCCGATTAGCCCAATGACCCACCCAGACTGGTCATCTCCACTCAAGGATGGAGCACTGCACCAGACCCAGCAGCACAAGCTAGTCAGGTCCAACTCACACCCATCCACACCCACTCATGTATTTATCTAACCTATTTTTAAAACTACACAACATTTTAGCCTGAATAACTGTACTTGGGAGTTTGTTCCACTCATCCACAACTCTATTTGTGTATACCTAAATAAACTTACTTATGATGCCACATGCGCTTGAGTAAGTTTATTCAGGTGTACAGAAATACAATTACATAGATTATCATACATAGCAGCATATGCATAAAATCCTAGGATAACCCAAAAAAGTCAGGGTGACTTATATCCATAGGGATCCCTGTATCTGTACTGTATGGTACTCTGTGCCATATGGTACCCTGTGCGATATGGTACCCTGTGCCATATGGTACCCTGTACCTTATGGTACCCTGTACTGCATGGTACCCTATACCATATAGTACAATGTACCATATGGTACCCTGTAACATATGATGCCATGTACCATATGGTCAATAGGTGTTGGTGGAAGGAGAGACCAGCCAAGACTGAGTGGTGACACAAGCTAGCTACTGACTCCACATTATTATTATAATAAAAAAGAAGCCCTAAGCCACAAAGGCTATACAGCACCAGTGCTATTGACTCCCAGACAAAGTGCTTTGTCATCCACCTGAAGAAACATGTCGAGTTCCTGTACATTTGTAAATATAAAATAGAACATTACTAATATACAACATTTTTGCATATTTTTGTTGTAAATAATTATTGTAAACAAAATAATGATGAAAATATTAGTGTGTTTATTTTTGAATACAACAGTACCATATGGTACAATGTACCATATGGTACCATTGCACCATATGGTACCATATTCTACCATATGGTACCATTGTATCAAGTGCCATTGTACCATATGGTACCATTGTATTATATGGTACCATTGTACCATTGCACCCTATGGCACCATTATACCATATGGTACCGTTGTATTCAACACAATAACTGCACTAATATTTTCATCATTTTGTTTACAATAAACTTGTAAACAAGTTTTGCAGTTATTGTGTTGAATACAATGAGTGTAGACTTATACAATATACATTATATTGGTCTCACAGGTCACAAATGTTACTAGAAAAAGAAAAAAAATAGAAAAGAAAAGAAGAAAGTATAAAAAACATAAAATAAAAAAATGCAATTTTGCGGAAGTCACTGATGTTGTCAGCGTAGTTGCTGATCCCCTTATATGTGTTGTATAGCGTATCATAGTACCATCCATGTGCTTTATATAGAAGATCCCTTGAGGCCTAGTGACTGTTTGTGTGACGTCACGGGATGCTCCATGAGTGAGCGGGACAGGCTACCTCGGCCTCAGTCGACGCATAGGCATAGAAGAAGGCAGGACACAGCAGGCTGGGCTCCATCTCCCATTACCACAGTCTGACAATATATAGTGTTACCATCCAACAAGGTATCTACCTTCAACCCTCTTATCTCCTTACCGAACCCCATACGACAATGTTGTCGCCACCCGGTCGTTTTGGGTCAACTTCCCGCCGCTGTATCTCAGTAAGCACTGAAGTACTGATCTCTCCAGGATCAGAAATTTTGTTTTGTTTTGTTTTATTACCTTCACAAAAATATTATCTTCAATTCTGTAAGAATTTTTTTTTTTTTTTTTTTTTTTTTTTTTTTTTTTTTTGTCAAAATTTCTTGGACACTGGGGCACACCCCTTCTGATTTTGGCCTTGGACCCTGAAAGGGTTAAGTGCTCATTTTCTTTTGATGTTGTGCATGACCTCAAATTAAGTAATAATGATGGAATTATTATTGAATATGTGTAAAAAAAGTGTATATTGGATTTTCCACAAGCTAATTTTTTCTTTTTTTTTTTTTGCATCTGTTTTTTGTGAATTTCAGCATTAAAGAGTTCAGAGCAACATTTAACAAATATGGTCCAAAAGGCAAAAGTGAGCTCAAATTATAAATATCAGTTATACGAACAGCATTTATTGTTATTCACAGCTTCTGAATTTGCTGGGCTCCCTTGGAGCATAGTCAACATGTATTTTAACCCATTCAGGGTTGGTCCCATACATGTATTGCTTAACAGCCAGGGTCAGTCCACTACTTAAACGCAAAAAATTCTAGCGCCTTCAAATAGAGCGGGATAAAGCTGGTAGGCCTACATGTGAGAGAATGGGTCTGCATAGTCAGTGTGCAGTATAAAAAAAAAAATCCTGCAGCATGCGGTGAGATAAGATAAGATAAGATAAGATTTCGTTCGGATTTTTAACCCCGGAGGGTTAGCCACCCAGGATAACCCAAGAAAGTCAGTGCGTCATCGAGGACTGTCTAACTTATTTCCATTGGGGTCCTTAATCTTGTCCCCCAGGATGCGACCCACACCAGTCGACTAACACCCAGGTACCTATTTGCTGCTAGGTGAACAGGACAACAGGTGTAAGGAAACGTGTCGAATGTTTCCACCCGCCGGGAATCGAACCCGGGCCCTCCGTGTGTGAAGCGGGAGCTTTAGCCACCATGAGAAAAAAACTCCGACCGTGTTTTTAGTTTAAAACAGCGACTTTGCAGTGTATTTTCGTATGGTATTTATGGTTGTATTCTCATTTTCTTGGTCTCATTTGATAGAATGGAAGATATATTACAGAAGTAGAGATGATTTTGATTGGTTTCATGATGAAAAGTACCTTGAAATTGAGCTCAAAGTAGAGGAAATGTTCGATTTTTGCCGATGTTCAAGAGTAAACAATATTCTTTCACAAGTGTGCTGATATTATTTATACCATTTTTACAATAATGCAGTAGTGTGCATAACAATAAATCTTCTATTTTTTGTGAGAATAAAAATTCAAAATGGAAAGCATGAGTAATATAAGAGGGGCCTGGAGACATGACTAATGAACAGAGAAAATGTTATTTTAGTGCCAGGAATGTGTCTTGTTTATTCTGGACCCTATTTTGAAATTTGGCTGAAATTGGCAAAATTGCCAATTTCTGACTACAGTGGACCCCCGGTTAACGAACTTTTTTCATTCCAGTAGTATGTTCAGGTGCCAGTACTGACCGAATTTGTTCCCATAAGAAATATTGTGAAGTAGATTAGTCCATTTCAGACCCCCAAACATACACGTACAAACGCACTTACATAAATACACTTACATAATTGGTCGCATTCGGAGGTGATCGTTATGCGGGGGTCCACTGTACTTTATTGGGTAGTTGAAATTGGTAAATGGGCGGTTTCTTGTACTCGATTGATAGAACAAATGGAGTTCTAGTGAACTAGCTATGATTTTAGTCGACTGGAACAATGGAATTGGCTGAAAATAGTGCTCAAAGTGGGCGAAATCGCTGATGCGTAAATATTGCTGATATCGCTAACTTCGTGAGAGCGTAATTTCGTAAATTTTCTGTCAAATTTCTTACTTTTGGTGTTATTACCATCGGGAATAGATTCTCAATCATTTCATAAGAAAAAATTATTTTCTTTTTTTAAATTTTTCAACCCTGAGAGTGAGTTAAGGATCGGGGGTCTTGACCCTCAAAGGGTTACGGGAGCCTTGTATAGAAAAATATTTTTAAATTAGATTCTCTATTGTGATCTTGCTTGCTTGCATTTGGTACTACTAAACTAGAAGTACCAATCCTAGTAATGAGGATAATAGTATAGTAGCAAAAGGGCTAGTAGTAGTAGTATTAAGAATAATTAAGAGAAACAGTTGTACAATAACTTAACTAAAATCACACAGGAACTTAGGCTTGGTTGATTTCAGTTATGTCATTGTTTGAGTACTGTAGATTTTATTTACTATAATGTAGACTTAACCCTTAAACGGTCCAAACAGGTCGACGTTCAAAAGTAGATCTACTTTTTTTTATATATTTTCAAATATAACAAAAAAAAAAATGTAGATAAAAGTTTTTTTTTACACATTTTCACATGTAAAACAAAAAAAAAGATCTACATTTTTTTACATACTTTCAGACGTTGAAAAAACATATACTATATACGTTTGGACCATTTAAGGGTTAAAATATATCCATGCATACATACAAACAAACACATACATATACATACACATGCATGAACACACAGTCATAGAGTACCTTATATATACATACACACACAGTGTCATAGATTACCTCAGTGGTCTCACATTCACTGTACAGCATTATTGTACTAATGTGACAAGTTCTTTTCCCCATGGAAAGCTGCCAAAACTTTTATGGCACTTTCAAGTGTTCTCCCGCAACTGCATTTATTTGCCAATTGTATGAGCATTAATTCTAACAAGCTTTACTGTAGTAATAGGGCTAAGAGAGCAAAGATATACGAATGATAGTAGAAGTAATACTATTTACGGTAGAGCCCCCGTATTCATGGATTTGGTTTCTACACTTTCAGTTATCCACGGTTAACCGTGGCCCAAAAATAACCCTTAATTTTGTTTAAAAATGTCACCACAGCACAGTTCTTCAGAGCTTAAAAGAAGCCGTGAAGTGCTTCCCATCAGTAAAAAAAAGTGCTATTGTTAGTAATTTATCAATTGTGAGTAATTTATCAATTAATCTTTATCATAAGTATGTATGTAAACAAAAAACGACTTGTATATAGGATTCGCTATTATCCACAGTTTTGGGTATACATGGTAGGTCTTGGAACGTATCCCCAATGGATACAGGGGGACTACTGTACTTTAAAAAATAACAATAATTTAAAATAGATGTATTATAATGATAATGTGATAATGTTATTTGTAGTTAAAACAGTTCACTTGATAAATAATGAACCAAAAAGTTGTCTAAAGTTTCCTTTCCAAATTGGGAGTTATTTGTAAATTGTTCCGGCACTTATATGACATGCTGTAATTAATAACAACTAAATTGGCGTCAATTTAAATATGATAGTAAAACATTTTTATTTTATTGATAATATTGTTTTATTTCTGTTTTAGGTCTTCACTACAGAGTTGATTGATGGTATTCCAGTGGACCACTGTATCGATATGGATCAAGAAACAAGAAATTTTATATGTGAGAAGATACTTGGCTTGTGTCTTTTAGAGCTATTTCGCTTTGGCTTCATGCAAACTGATCCAAACTGGTCCAACTTTTTCTATAATGCAGAAACAGAGCAGGTATATGCAACATACAATTTATTATTAGAGTGAAACCTCGGTTTTCGTGTGCCCTAGTCTGTATGTAAAACTACTAGTTATTCTCCATAAAATGTATTTTTTGTTTATATTTCCCAAAAGAAATAACATAAATCCAATTAATCCATTCCAGAAACTCAAAAAATATTAAGAAAAAGTACATTTTATAGAGAATAACTATAGTTTTACATACAGACTAGGGCATATGAAAACTGAGGTTCCACTGTATTTGATTTTTACATGGTTTAATGCTGGAAAATCTGTACAACTAATGTTGAGGTGAAGTACAGTATCTAAGAATTTAGTATTTTATTTTCCTTTAACAAGAAAATTATTTTTAAATACAGTACACTATTAGGGATCACATCCTCTCCTTTGCTTATCTAATTTTCACTGTGGTGGTGCTTATTTATCTAACTACTGAATATTTAGTGTTAGGTAAATGGACACAGATGCAACTAATGTGACATTTTATTGAGGCAATGTTTCACTGTCCAGGAGCTTTGACAAAGCCGGACAGTGAAATGTTGCCACAATAAAATGTCCCAATAGTTGCATCTGTGTCCATTTACCTAACATTTTGTCAGTAATTCTACCATTATTACTGAATCTTTAGTGTTAGACAAAATACTCACCTGGTAAGTCATGTACAATATGCTGTGCAGACAAAGGATTTACTATACTCATTATGTATTATAATTTATAATGTATTAACAGGACATATGACTATAACTATTAGTGTGGATCAGGCATTTTACAGTTATTTCTAATAGTATAAGTAGTCATAAGTTTATGAAATTATAATAAAGTTGGTAGAATTACCAACAATATGTAAAGTAAAAGGACACAAGTGCAACTAATGTGACATTTTATTGTGGCAACGTTTCGCTCTCCAGGAGCTGTGTCAAGCCGTTACAAACAGTACGTGGACACAGAGGGTATATATAGGCACAGAGTGAGGTGCAATACTAGAGGTAGTAGTAGTAGTAGTGACATAAGTTGTAGTAGTAGTAATACAATATGGTAGAGCAATTAACTTGTACATGAGTAAAAGGATATAAAAGCTATTACTTGGGTAACATAAAAATAGGTTAGACAAATATAGACTGGATAGAGAAGGCCTGTTTCAGTGTTCACTCTCTGTAATGTGATTTGTGTAGTATTAACAGGAGAGACTATATGATGGCAGGATTTACTGTTTTCAGGAGGATTCTTGCTAAGACTTCAGAGATGATGAAGCTGCCTTTGTTTTGTTTAAATTGTATTCGAAACAGCGATTAGTGCTGACTCGAGGCACTTGCGCCTGCGGAAGTTAGTTTCTTTGATCACTAATTGGGTGTCCCTGAATTTCATGAGATGATTGGTGGAATTTCGGTGTTGTACACAAGCGTTGTTCAAGTTATCGTTCCTACATGCGTAAATGTGTTCATTGCGGCGGGTGTTGAGTTTTTGCTGTTTCACCTACATAAATCTTGTCGCAGCCTCCACAGGGTATAGTGTAAACCCCTGCATTGACTGGTTCGTGGTGCTTTGATTTTGTCCTGGTCAGATCCTTTATTGAAGTGCTGGAAGCGATGGTGACTCTGGTGTTAGCTTGTGAAAGTACTTTAGAAACGTTCAGTGCAACCTGGCTGTTGGGAAGAATTATAACTTTGTTAGGAGTGGTGTTGGTGAGTGGAGAATTAATGATCTGAAGAGCTCTTTTCTTGCAGTCTTTGATGAAAAAGGAAGGAAAATGTAACTCAGTGTAGGTTTGGTGAATGTATGTGCATTCCTCATCAAGAAACTCAGGACTACAAATTCTGTACGCTCTTAGGAAAAACCCAACGATGATGCCTCTTTTGGTCTTAGTATCTTGACTGGAATAGAAGTGTGTGAGATCATTTTTATTGGTAGGTTTCTGATAGACTTGAAATCTTAGGTTGTTGTCTACTTTGTGAATGAGGACGCCGAAGAAAGGTAGCTTGTCATTGGACTCTTCTTCTAGTGTAAACTGGATCGCCGGTTCAACTGCATTGAGCCTTGCCTGAAGATTCCGTACATCAAAACATTTGGGAGTTATTATGAGGACGTCGTCCACGTAACGTAACCAAGTGACGCTTGAAGGGATGATGTTGGCGAAGTGTTCGACCTAGGTGTTCCATGAAATAAGTTGGCTAGGACGGCACTGATGGGGACCCCATTCCCATGCCGTAGGTTTTTTTGTAGAGCCTATTATTGAAAGAAAAACAGTTGAAATTAACACAGAGTTCAATCAAGTCAACAAAATCTCCAGGAGGTAGAGGAAGATTAAGGTCCTGATTGACTTTGTGTCATAGAACCTCGATGGCTTTAGTGGTAGGTACTTTTGTGAAGAGGGAAGTCACGTCCAAACTACAGTACTTAGTTTTTTGTTATGGATGGAGAGGTTTCGGATGCGGTTAAGAAGGTTGCCTGAGTGTTTAAGATGAGTGGGGCTGATGGTCCCCAGAAGGCAGGAAAGATGTTTGGCAAGAACTCCGGCTAGTTTGTGTGAAGCACTGCCTATACCTGACGTGATTGGTCTGAGAGGAATATTGTCTTTATGGGTCTTGGGTAAACCATACATGTGTGCTGGTTTAGGGTTGCTGGGTAACAGGTATAGAAGTTTCTTCCCTTCTCTAGTGCATTTGAATATTTGTCTGGTTTTGTATAGAAAGTCTTTGGTGAATGTCTCCCACTGTTGAGTGCTGATGGGTTCGTATGTAGACTGATCACTCAAAAGGTCCATCCGTAACAAAAAACTAAGTAGTTTGGACATGACTTCCCTCTTCACAAAAGAACCTACCACTAAAGCTATCGAGATTCTACGACGCAAAGTCAATCAGGACCTTAATCTTCCTCTACCTCCCGGAGATTTTGTTGATTTGATTGAACTCTGTGTTAATTTCAACACTGTTTTTCTTTCAATAATAGGCTCTACAAACAAACCTACGTCATGGGAATGGGGTCCCCCATCAGTGCCGTCCTAGCCAACTTATACATGGAACACCTAGAGTCCGAACACTTCGCCAACATCATCCCTTCAAGTGGCACTTGGTTACGTTACGTGGACGCCGTCCTATAAATAACTCCCAAACGTTTTGATGTACGGAATCTTCAGGCAAGGCTCAATGCAGTTGAACCAGCGATCCAGTTTACACTAGAAGAAGAGTCCAATGACAAGCTACCTTTCCTCGGCGTCCTCATTCACAAAGTAGACAACAACCTAAGATTTCAAGTCTATCGGAAACCTACCAATAAAAATGATCTCACACACTTCTATTCCAGTCAAGATACTAAGACCAAAAGAGGCATCATCGTTGGGTTTTTCCTAAGAGTGTATCGAATTTGTAGTCCTGAGTTTCTTGACGAGGAATGCACATACATTCACCGAGTTACATTTTCCTTCCTTTTTCATCAAAGACTGCAAGAAAAGAGCTCTTCAGATCATTAATTCTCCACGCACCAACACCACTCCTAACAAAGTTATAATTCTTCCCAACAGCCAGGTTGCACTGAACGTTTCTAAAATACTTTTACAAGCTAACACCAGAGTTACCATCGTTTCCAGCACTTCAATAAAGGATCTGACCAGGACAAAATCAAAGCACCACGAACCAGTCAATGCAGGGGTTTACACTATACCCTGTGGAGGCTGCGACAAGATTTATGTAGGTGAAACAGCAAGAAACCTCGACACCTGCCGCAATGAACACATTTACGCATGTAGGAACGATAACTTGAACAATGCCTGTGTACAACACCGAAATTCCACTAATCATCTCATGAAATTCAGGGACACCCAATTAGTGATCATAGAAACTAACTTCTGCAGGCGCAAGTGCCTCGAGTCAGCACTAATCGCTGTTTCGAATACAATTAAATAAAACAAAGGCAGCTTCACCATCTCTGAAGTCTTAGCAAGAATCCTCCTGAAAACAGTAAACCCTGCCATCACATAGTCTCTCCTGTTAATACTACACAAAGCATATTACAGAGCGTGAACACTGAAACAGGCCTTCTCTATCCAGTCTATATTTGTCTAACCTATTTTTATGTTACCCAAGTAATAGCTTTTATATCCTTTTACTCATGTACGAGTTAATTGCTCTACCATATTGTATTACTACTACTACTACAACTTATGTCACTACTACTACTACTACCTCTAGTATTGCACCTCACTCTGTGCCTATATATACCCTCTGTGTCCATGTACTGTTTGTAACGGCTTGACACAGCTCCTGGAGAGTGAAACGTTGCCACAATAAAATGTCACATTAGTTACACTTGTGTCCTTTTACTTTACATAATGAAATTATGTCTGTGAAGCTGTTAACATCAAATCTACATATCTCCACAGGTAGCACTTCTGGACTTTGGTGCATGTCGGGATTATAGTAAAGATTTTGTTGACAAGTATATTCACTTAATTCATGGTGCAGCTATAAAGGATCATGAAAAAGTTCTTCATTACTCACAGGAGCTTGGCTTCCTAACAGGATGTGAGGCAAAGGTAAGTTGAGTTGATTCTCTGTCCATGTTAGTCTCCTCATGTAGTGGAGGAAAGGAGGGGTAGCGGTTGTCCTAGGAAAGGATGGAGGGTGCTCTGTGGCCTGGTGTCTAAAGTTCTCACTTCACACAGCGAGGGTCTGAGTTTGATTCCTGGCAAGGGTAGAAACATTGGGCGAGTTTCCTTACACCGGTTGTCTATGCTCCCCATCAGTAAAATGGGTACCTGGGTGTTAGTTGACTGGTGTGGGTTGCATCCTGGTACAAAACTGATCTAATTTGCTCAAAATGCTCTGCATAACAAGCGGCTTTCTATACAGTATGTCATTGATGTCAGCTAGGCCTGTATACCTTGTACATGTACTTGTAAAAATAAAGATATTATTATATTATAGGGAGGGGGTAAAAGAGGTCTTGTGTGCAAGGGGTTTGGACATACAGCAGGCATGTGTGAGCATGTTAGATAGGAGTGAGTGGAGACCAGTGGTTTTTGGAACTTGCCAAGCTGTTGGAGTGTGAGCAGGGTAATATTTTGTGAAGGGATTCAGGCAAACCAGTTAGCTGGACTCGAGTCCTAGAGGTGAGAAGTACAATGCCTGCACTTTGAAGGAAGAGTTTGGGATATTTGCTACTTGGAGAGATATCTGAGCTGTCATATCTGTGTGCCTCTGCAAAGACAGTGATTATGTGTGAGTGATGGTGAAAGTGTTTCGTTTTTGGGTCACCCTGCTTCGGTGGGAGATGGCCAGTGTGTTAAAAAAAATAATAGAAAAAATGCTGATATATTGGGCAAACAGGATAGCATATTTAGCTGGATATAAACTTTTGAAGAATTCAAGAGATTATTGAAAGTCTGGCAGTGCTGATACATTAAAGTAAGTAATAAAGGAAAGGTATTTATTTCCTATATGACATCAAAAAAAAAAAAGACATCAGCTACTTCCGGTGCCCCGGTGGCCTGGTGGCTAAAGCTCCCGCTTCACACACGGAGGGCCCGGGCTCGATTCCCGGCGGGTGGAAACATTCCGACATTTCCTTACACCTGTTGTCCTGTTCACCTAGCAGCAAATAGGTACCTGGGTGTTAGTCGACTGGTGTGGGTCGCATCCTGGGGGACAAGATTAAGGACCCTAATGGAAATAAGTTAGACAGTCCTCGATGACGCACTGACTTTCTTGGGTTATCCTGGGTGGCTAACCCCCCGGGGTTAAAAATCCAAACGAAATCTTATCTTATCTTACTCTTATGCCACACTACACATACATGTACATGTTTATGTATACACACTCATCTGAGTTTTCTTTGATTTTATCTTAATAGTTCTTGTTCTTATTACTTTTCCTTTCATATCAACGGGGAAGTGGAATAAGAATCTTTCCTCTGTAAGCCAAGTGTGTTGTAAAAGTCAACTAAAATGCCAGGAGCAATGGGCTAGTAACCCCTTTTCCCGTATAGCCTACTAAAAAGAAAATTAATATACATTTATTTAATTATTGTCATATCTGAGCACTCCAGCAAAACACAATGATTATGTATAAGTGATGGTGAAAGTGTTGAATGATGATGAAAGTTTTTTCTTCTCGTTCTTTTTGGGTTTTTCTTTCTTTTTGGGTCACCCTGCCTCAGTGGGAAATGGCCTACATATTAAAAAAAAAAATGACAGCAGCAGTACAGGACCTTGTTATCTCCTGGAGCTTAATATTTTTGAGGTAGTACCCACATACAGGTTTTGCAACCTACCAACACACATTTAAAAATCAATAATTTTTTAAAATGTAACCATCCTTTGTACTATTGTTTTCTGTACAAACTCATTTTTAAGTTGAAACACTAGGAATGCAACTCTTTGGAAGCAGAGGACCAGCTGTATATCATCTTTCCCAGGTATTTATACATTATGTGCTAACCTCATATGCCAAGAAAATATAGATTTGCAACGTTTATGAGAAATGTATGATCTGATGTGTTCTTTTACTAATTGACAAAAGTGAATTACTGTACTCTTAATATTCATAGTAAAATACAGTATAGGTAAAAATTTACTATAATACACTTCTTTTAGAGATTTTATGGATTTTTTTTCTTATATGGATATTAACAAACATTATGATCATTTATTCACTTAAATAATTGTCAGATCAACACAATATAGGGATTAAATCAAAATTAAATTGTTAATGGATAAATAATTAAATAAATTAATAAATAATCTCTTATGCCAGCACTTCTGGAAAGATGGTGCTTAAATGAATGACGGTGAATGTGTTTTTTTCCTTTGAGATACCTTGCGCTGGTGAAAGATGTCCATTGAGCCAATAAGTGATTGAATAAATGACGATGAAAGTGTTTCTTTTTTTTGGGGGTCACCCTACCTCAGTGGGAGATGGCCATTGTTAAAAAATATATATACACAGTACATACATATATTTGTGTATAAATTATTATAATTAAATTAATATTAAGCAAAAGAACATAACAATATTGTGTCTCTAATAATTTTGAATGCACTGCATATTTCTCTTGTTGATATCTGAATAATTGAAAATTTCTTTAATATCTCATTTTTCTTGGACATATATACGTGCACATGTGTCTTATTGAAGGAAGTTAATAACTAGTTAGACATAGAGAGTTATTAGGAAAATAAGTTACCTATTCAAGTATTAATAGAGTTGCACCGTAAAAGAGAAATAGTCATAAGAAAAAAGTTTCATGGGCTCTTTACAATTATGTGAATTTCAGAAGAAAACTGAACATTGTACAAGATTGAGCTTGAAAATTGGACACATATGCAACATCTGCGTATCCTTATTGTAGACATTTCGCCATCCAGTGGCTTTATCAGTGTTGCATATACGTATGTCTAATTTTCATCTTGTTGGTGCAGTATTGTATACCAGTCATGTACAATTAATGAGCTTGCCAACATTAGAAATTCACCAGAAATGGGAACCCAAACTTAATGTTATGGAGAATGCCACTGATGTTGCAAAATGTACAGTAATCAAGCTTCCCATTTTTTCTATACATGTATACTGTAGTACAAATGGTATCATATAGTGCAGTCAGAAAGCAAAAATTATCATTGAAAGTACATGTATTAAACTCATACAAAGTACTCTAATATATGGTATTACTTGTATTGGAGAGGTGCCACCTGCTCTATTTATGCCCATAAAGAATAATAGCTTATGATGAAGTTAAAAATTTAATTTATTCCAGTCATTGCGAAATGCTTTGAATATATCCGAGTCATAATTACCCAATAAAAAAGTATTATTATATTTTTACCTCGGCAGTAGGACATATTTTTAACATAATTATTGCAAATATTGTTAGTGGTCATGCTAAGCCATTATTGCATATAACCATATTTTTCTTTTTTTAACTCATTGTCCATTTCTCACTGAGGCAAGGTGACAGGAAAAAGTAGAAACTGAAGTGTTTATTCTTTTTACATTTAGTAATTTATAAAGGAGAAGGGGTTACTTGCCCTTTGCTCCCGGCATTTTAGTCGCCTCTTATGACACACATGGCTTACGGAGGATTCTTTTCCACTTCCCCATGGAGTATAATGATATATCTTCTTCCAACAAACAGGCTGCATCCCACTGAGGCAGGGTGACCCAAAAAGAAAAAAAAAAGTATAACGATATATGTAAAACATTAAAATATTGAATTAGATTTTTAATGTATTTTTTAACATTGCTTATGAAAGTGCTTTTTCCTTCCACAGGTAATGGAAGAAGCGCATGTGGATGCTATCATGATACTGGGTGAAGCATTCCAAGAAGATAAGCCTTTTCATTTTGGAAACCAAGACACCACATACAGAATTCAGCATCTGGTTCCTGTTATGCTTTCCCATCGCATGTGCGCTCCACCTGAAGAATCATACTCCCTTCATCGTAAAATGTCAGGGGTTTTCCTTCTCTGTGCAAAATTAAATGGAATTGTTAAATGTTATTCAATGTTCCAAGAAGTTTTCAGCAGTTACAAGTTTGGAGGGACATGGGAAGACTTTCATGCTGGCAAGTTATGATCATAATTATGTAAGATATTAACCAGTAGCATTACTGTTAAAAGGAAATTTTTTGAGAGGAAAAATAAGAAGCATTTAAACAAACTGCAGGAAATTATGAAGTAGAGATATAATAATGTTGCAAATTTAGTTTAGTAAAGTTGCTCAAGAATGCTGCTCAGTTAACGGAGTAGATAATATAAATAGTTATTAGGATGCATATGAAATAAGCAATACAGATCATGTAATTTCTCAGCTACTGCTGATCTTGGTGGACTCATTTTTAAGAATTTTCACTATTATAGCTCTGCAGTATAAATTATACTCGTGCAGTAGAATTAACCCTTTCAGGATCCGTCACGTAGATCTACGGCTTTACGTTCAGGGTCCAAACCGTAGATCTACGTCATGAGCTCGGCTCACTCTGATAAACTGTGAGTGGTACATTTGGGCCCAGATATGAGAGAATACATCTATGTGGTATGTGTGCACTACATAAAACAGATCCTGCAGCACACTGTGTATAATGAGAGAAAAAAAACTGAAATCATGATTTTTCGATTAAAACAGCGACTTTGCAGTGTTTTTCGTATGTTTTTTATGGTTGTATTTGCGATTTCTTGGTCTCATTTGATAGAATGGAAGACATATTACAGAAATAGAGATGATTTTGATTGGTTTTAGCACTGGAAATGGCTTGAAACTGAGCTCAAAGCAGCAGAAATGTTAAATTTTTGCCAATATTCAAGAGTAAACAAACGACCTCACACGTCAAATACACGCCAGCTGGTGGGTCTAATATGCATTCACAAATATAGTGATGATATTTATACAATTATTACAGTATTGCATAACAGTAAATCTTCTATTTTTTGGTGTGAATAAAAATTCATTGTGTGAATAAAAAATCAAAATGGAATTTATTTGTAAAGCCTCAAAACATAACTAATGAACAGAGAAAATGTTAGTTTAGTTCCAGGAATACCTACATTGTTTATTCTGGACCCTATTTTGAAATTGGAATATTTTGAACTTTGTGTTAAATTGGCCAAATTAACAATTTCCGATCACTTTAATTTGTAGTTGAAACAGTTGACTTGGCGATTTCTTGTGCTCAGTCGATAGAATAGAAGTAATACTAGTGAAATAGCTAAGAATTTGGTTGACTGGAATAATGTAATTGGCCTAAAATGGGAGTCGAAGTCGGCAAAATCGCCGATTCATAAATATCACTGACACATGAAAATTCGTGAGAGCATAATTCCGTCAATTTTCCATCAAATTTCGTACTTTTTGTTTTATTACCTTCACAAAAAGATTCTCTACCATTTCATAAGAAAAATAACAAATTCTTTTTTTGAAAATTCTTGGACACTGGGGCACCACTTCAGATTTGGGCCTTGGACCCTGAAGGGGTTAATGATCTTATGAAATCAGCAGAACCCTCATAGGAATAATTTCAGAAGTGATGAACCTGAGGCATTTGTCAAAGACTAGTAGATTGGTGAATCTGTGTGAAGCTACCATCACCATTTAAAGGAAAACTTTATTAGCTTTGCTGTATACATATATCCAGATGTCCCATTACAACAAAAATCCTGGCAATTTGTAAAATGTTTTCTAGCAGACTTGCTGAACATGTTGGACTTGACTGTATAGAGCAATGTATAGAAATCCAAGCAAGCTAATAGAAGTATAGAATAAATCCTTATAGTAATTTGTAAACACAAGAAGATAGTAGTAATATATTTTTTTTTTTTACATGATAAATTCAATATACATAAAAATGATGAGGAATTCTTACTAGGAGCAATAGTAATATAATAAAATGCTTGCACAGAACAATGTACATAGTTACAATGTTCAGCTCTGTGTTGTGGTGCTAATGAGACATGTTTGCTGCAGATAATTAATATTTCATTGAATCTGAGATGAGAACACATCACTGAATTTTTTTAGTCTATAATGTGTATCAGGTACAGAGATGCAATACTATGTATTGTGTTTATAAGGCTAAATTGCTTGAAAATTTTAAAATACAAATGTACGTAATTACTCAGATAAGTTTTTTTTAGACCCAATATTTTGGTAGAAAGTAAAGGGGCTACTTGTATACCTTTTGAAATTCTTGTATATTGTACATCTCTACTCAACATTTAAATTCCTACCTCTTGGATGTATCAAAACCAAAACTGCACTCGCTACCCATATTATTATTGTAGTGTTACCCTCTTTCATAGCAGTTTTATTATTATTTTTTTTTTCCCAACAAGTTGGCCGTCTCCCACTGAGGCAGGGTGACTCAAAAAGAAAGAAAATTCCCCAAAACAAAATACTTTCATCATTCAACTCTTTCACCTCACTCAAACATAATCACTGTTTTTGCAGAGGTGCTCAGAACACAACAGCTTAGAAGCATATACGTATAAAGATGCACAACATATCCCTCCAAACTGCCAATATCCCGAACCCCTCCTTTAAAGTGCAGGCATTGTACTTCCCATTTCCAGGACTCAAGTCCGGCTATATAAAAATAACCGGTTTCCCTGAATCCCTTCACTAAATATTACCCTGCTCACACTCCAACATATTGTCAGGTCCCAAATACCATTCGTCTCCATTCACTCCTATCGAACACATTCACACACGCCTGCTGGAAGTCCAAGCCCCTTGCCCACAAAACCTCCCTTACCCCCTTCCAACCTTTTCGAGGACAACCCCTACCCCGCCTTCCTTCCCCTACAGATTTAAATGCTCTCCATGTCATTCTACTTTGACCCATTCTCTTTAAATGACCAAACCACCTCAACAACCCCTCTTCAGCCCTCTGACTAATACTTTTATTAACTCCACATCTTCTCATAATTTCCACACTCCGAATTTTCTGCATAATATTTACACCACACATTGCCCTTAGACAGGACATCTCCACTGCTTCCAACCGCCTCCTCACTGCTGCATTCACAACCCAAGCTTCACACCCATATAAGTGTTGGTACTACTATACTTTCATACATTCCCTTCTTTGCCTCCATAGATAATGTTTTTTGTCTCCACTCACCTTTTTTCCCCTCATCAATTCTATGATTAACCTCATCCTTCATAAATCCATCCGCTGACACGTCAATTCCCAAGTATCTGAAAACATTCACTTCTTCCATACTCCTCCTCCCCAATTTGATATCCAATTTTTCTTTATCTAAATCATTTGATACCCTCATCACCTTACTCTTTTCTATGTTCACTTTCAACTTTCTACCTTTACACACACTCCCAAACTCATCCACTAACCTTTGCAATTTTTCTTTAGAATCTCCCATAAGCACAGTATCATCAGCAAAAAGCAACTGTGTCAATTCCCATTCTGTATATGATTCCCCACCCCCCTCTCCTGAACACCCTAGCATTTACTTCTTTTACAAACCCATCTATAAATATATTAAACAACCATGGTGATGTTACACATCCCTGTCTAAGACCTACTTTTACCGGGAAGTAGTCTCCCTCTCTTCTACACACCCTAACCTGAGCCTCACTATCCTCATAAAAACTCTTTACAGCATTTAGTAACTTACCACTTATTCCATATACTACTGTACTTGCAACATCTGCCACATTGCTCCCCTATCCACTCTATCATATGCCTTTTCTAAATCCATAAATGCAATAAAAACTTCCCTATCTTTATCCTTTATCTAAATACTGTTCACATATATGCTTCAATGTAAACACTTGATCTACACATCCCCTACATACTCTAAAACCTCCTTGCTCATCCGCAATCCTACATTCTGTCTTACCCCTAATTCTTTCAATTATAACCCTACCGTACACTCTTCCTGGTACTGTATACTCAGTAAACTTATTCCTCTATAATTTTTACAATCTCTTTTGTCCCCCTTCCCTTTACATAAAGGAACTACACATGTGCTCTGCCAATCTCTAGGTACCTTCCCCTCTTTCATACATTTATTAAACAAAAATACCAACCACTCCAACACTATATTCCCCCCTGCTTTTAACATTTCTGTCATGATCCCATCAGTTCCAGCTGCTTTACCCCCTTTCATTTTACGTAATGCCTCACGCATCTCCCCCACACTCACATCCTGTTCTTCTTCACTCCTAAAAGATGTTATACCTCCCTGTCCAGTGCATGAAATTACCGCCTCCCTTTCTTCGTCGACATTTAAAAGCTCCTCAAAATATTCTCGCCATCTACCAAAACCTCCCTCTCTCCCTCTACTAACTCCCCTACTCTGTTATTATTATTATTATAATTACAAAATGCTCTCAACCCATATGGGTCACAAACCACCAAAAGGCTGAGGGAAGCTATTGCCTAAGGGAAGTAGTGTAATGGATAAACTTGGGGTCAGCAAGGAAAGCTAGATTTAACACAATAAATCTGTTTCAATGAAAAATCATAGTGCTTTTGTAGGGCTTTCTGAAAGGACAGCAAGCAATGCAAGAGTGGCTAGGAGCTGAAAGACAGATCGAAAATGAATCCTACATGCTCTTTGGTAAATGGAACAATTATATAAAAGGTGTTTGTCAATGAAATGCAAGTTGCACAAAGTGGTGCCAGGTGCCTCTCCATGTGATAGTTGTGTGCCAAGTCCTGATGGCTAATGCATAAGCATGCAAGAACTGTTTCTTAAACACAAGAGTGATGAAAAAATCAACCAAGAAGCCAGCTATTTTAATCAAGAACAACTTGTTTGCTAACTAGGACCAATGTTGTTGCCATCGCTCCCAGATGCTCTAAGACAAAACTAGAAAGTAGTCAGAATAATGTATATTCTTATGAGAGATAGACAGGTCCTGGGCTGCTGAACTTTCAGTAGAATCTGCAAGTCTGTTACCCTGGATACCATAACTAGAGACCCAGCAAAAGGTGACATCTTTGTTTACTGAAGAGACAATACAGCTAGCATTGAATGCAAAGATGATGGGATACGAGGAGTTGATGGTTTAAGTAGCTTGCAATGCACATCAAGAGTCAGAGACTACAACAAATGGAGAAGCAGGAAGAGTAGAAATGAGGATGATGGCTGCAAGAAGTGCACATGAAAATACTCGATAAATCTTGTTAAGCATACCTATATTACACTCTGGAAAATAAGGTGCATATCCTACACCATCAAAGGATTAAGATCCATTGGTGTACACAACAGTATGCTAGTGCAACTGAAAATGGTCAAAAAAAAAAGGGGGGGGGAGTGCATGTCCATAGCAAAGATACAAGACTTTGGAGAAAAGGAGGAATATTCATGAATCATCAGCACTTTCCAAAGAGGCATATGTATTTTTTTTTTAACCAGTCAGCCATCTCCCACTGAGGCAGGGTGACCCAAAAAGCAAGAAAATCACCAAAAAGAAAATACTTTCATTATCATTCAACACTTTCACCTCACTCATACATAATCGTTGTTTTTGCAGACACACCCAGATACAACAGTTTAGAAGCATATACAAAAATATATAACATATCCCTCCAAACTGCCAATATCCCAAACCACTTCTTTAAAGTGCAGGCATTGTACTTTCCATTTCCAGTACTCAAGTCATGCTATATAAAAATAACCGGTTTCCCTGAATCCCCTCACTAAATATTACCCTGCTCACACTCCAACAGCTTGTCAGGTCCCAAAAACCATTTGTCTCCATTCACTCCTATTTAACACACTCACACATGCTTGCTGGAAGTCCAAGCCCCTCGCCCACAAAACCTCCTTTACTCTCTCCCTGCCTTCCTTCCCCTACAGATTTATACACTCTCCATGTAATTCTAGTTTGATCCATTCTCTCTAAATAACCAAACCACCTAATAACCCCTCTTCAGCCCTCTGACTAATACTTTTATAAACTCCACACCTAATTTCCACACTCCAAATTTTCTGCATAATATTTACACCACACATTGCCCTTAGACAGGACATGTCCACTGCCTCCAACCACCTCTTTGCTGCACAGCATTTACAACCCAAGCTTCACACCCATATAAGAGTGTTGGTACCACTATATGCTTTCATACATTCTCTTCGTTGCCTCCATAGATAACGTTTTTGTCTTCACATGTACCTCAATGCACCACCCACCTTTTTTCCTCATCAATTCTATGGTTAACCTCATCCTTCATAAGCCCATCCACTGACACGTCAACTCCCAAATATCTGAAAACATTCACTTCTTCCATACACCTCCTCTCCAATTTGATAACCAATTTTTCTTTATCTAAATCATTTGATACCCTCATCACCTTACTCTTATCTATGTTCACTTTCAACTTTCTACCTTTACACACACTCCCAAATTCGTCCACTAACCTTTGCAACTTTACTTTAGAATCTCCCATAAGCACAGTACCATCAGGAAAAAGTAACTGTGTCAACTCCCATTTTGTATTTGATTTCCCATAATTTAATCCCCCCCCTCTCCCGAACACCCTAGCATTTACTTCTTTTACAACCCCATCTATAATTATATTAAACAACTATGGTGACATTACACATCCCTGTCTAAGACTTACTTTTACCGGGAAGTAGTCTCCCTCTCTTCCACACACCCTAACCTGAGCCTCACTATCCCCATAAAAACTTTACAGCATTTAGTAACTTACCACCTATTCCATATACTTGCAACATCTGCCACATTGCTCTCCTATCCACTCTATCATATGCCTTTTTCTAAATCCATAAATGCAATGAAAACTATCCTACCTTTATCTAAATACTGTTCACATATACATATAAATACTGTTCACATATACATATGTTCAAACAGTATGATGACAGTCAAAATACAGTAATGTATATTGCTAGTATTTTTGTACACCAACTTCGAATATACAGTACTTTCCTTTAGCACTACTCATCACCCTTCCTAACTCTGCCTCAGTCATATTCTTCACCCTCCCTGGTCTCTGATCAATCATATTACACTTTTAGCACTGTATGACCCTAGTGGGTTTAGCGCTTATTTATGATTGTAATAATAGTATTCGTATGTTAAATATCACTGGCAGAGATATTGTAATGGCTTTTCCCTTGTT